AGAGATCCATGCTCTCTAACTTGGAAAGTTGCCCGATGCTGTCTGGAATATTCCTCAGTTGATTCCCATAGAGATCCATGCTCTTTAACTTAGAAAGTTGCCCGATGCTATCTGGAATTCTCCCATTCAATTGATTGTTAGAGAGATCTATCCTCTTTAACTTAGAAAGTTTCCTGATGCTATCTGGAATACTCCCATTGAATTGATTGTTAAAGAGATATATGCTCTCTAACCTAAAAAGTTGCTCGATACTATCTAAAATACTCCCACTCAATTGATTGCTAGAAAGATCAAGAACTATCAAGGAAGTCATGTTTTGGAAAAATGTAGGTATTGGACCATGAAGAAAATTATACGACAAATCAAAGTGTTGAATATTTCCAAGCAATGTAAAATTAAGAAGGTGGTTGTGAGATGGAAGATGAGAATTTTTTAGACTACAATATGACATTCTCAACCATGATAATGAAGAAAGCATGCCAAGTACCTGGAACAAGTTTGATGAAGCATGGTTTAGATTTACTCCACTCATATCAAGTTGTTGCAAAGAGCTGAGACAAGTCCACTTGATGTCATCATCAACCTTCAATCCCCCATAATAATACGAAGAAAGATCAAGGACATGAAGCCTTGTAAGATTTCCAAGTTCCCCAGGAATATTTCCTCTAAACTGCGTATAAGAGAGATTGAGGTACCTCAGCTGCTTCATCAAGCCAAAAGAGGGTGGAATAAGATTACCATTGAAATTATTGTTGCTCAAGTCCAGGTGTTCCAAGTATCTCAACTTGAGCAAACTTGAACCAACCTCCTTTACATCGTCAATCAAGGACAATTGACGTTGTTGATTAGCAAATACCGATCCCCTGAGTTGAATTGAGATAACATATCCGTTATTTTTGTCACAGCCTACTCCTCTCCATTCACAACAGTCATTGCCTTTCCAAGAAGACAACATATGCGATGGATCATGGAAACAAAGTTTGAACTTCAAGAGGGCTTCTCTCTCCTTTTCTATACAGCTAAAGCTTGTGTTCCGACCGGAACAAAACTCTGCAGCTCCAAAGAACAATACAGCAACTAGAACAAGCATAGCACGGAAAATTTCCCTCATAATGATGTTTTCAATATTGTATGGAAGATGAGATGTGATATTTAATTTTCCTTGTACATTAATATATAGTCCCATGGACAGGCAAGTAAAACACCTTTCCCCGAAGTTACACTAAAGAAAAAGATTCCGAGTAAGTGATTTAAAGCAGCCTATTTTTGTATTTCGATCATGATCACTCGAGCGCGTTCGCCAAGACTTGGATGTCTTTTTGGTGCTTGTTGCTTTAAAGTCAATTTAATTGGTGCTTTCATTGTCTTTTTGCCCCACCACAATAATAATACAGCTTTTACAGGTCTTGTGCTACAGTTGCGTGACGTGAAGACCGGAAAAGTTTGAAAAATGGCTTTCAATTCTTAGAGATAACTATGGTTCGTGGAAATTTCTTCTCCTTTTACCTATCATGGAAATTTTTGGTCATCATGATTATGGTTCAAATATAGTGTGGAAGATAAGATATTTAGATGATTTTAATTTTTTTCTTTGATAACAGATGATTTTATTTTTATTAATTCCTTTTGATGAATGGATGGATTTTAATTTTGGTTGCACATTAATATTATAATGGCAAATCTTAAGCTCTTGAACTTACCCTATTCTTCGACACAAGCCCCTAAACTATCTTTTTAAACTTATAAGCCCTTAACCCTTCTATTTATGCCAGAAGGAAACCCTTTGTTAACGGTTCCGCTAGTTTCCGTAAAAAAATCTAATCACAGCAGTCAAAAAAAAGGTTGAATTGTAGTTTAGTCAATATATATACTTTTTTTTTTGGTTTCCTGCCCGGTATCCGGGACTTCGCCCCGACTACTCCGGACTCGACCTGCTGTGGCGCACCAGAATGGTGGGTGGATCTCCCAACAAAAGTTGCTACATACACAGGATCTCGAACTCGAGATCTTACTTAAACTGGAACAAGTCACTTGCCACTTGATCCAACCCTTCGTTGGTCAATATATACACTTTCATATTTAACAAAAATTACTTCTTTCATTTTTAACTAAATTTGCTAAAAACAATTAAAAAAAGAAATAAAAAGAACAAATAATCCTATGATATAAAAAAAAAAAAAACAGTTCTCAACGTGGTTCCCAGGTCACAAGTCTCGATAATCTGTT